GTCCTCACCGGTGTCAAAACCTTTGGGTTCGAGGTAAAGCTGAGAGCAGCAGCGGAGGTAGAAGAGCACGAAGCCGACCACAGGGCCGAAGGGGCCACAGTCACCAGAAGCAACCGCGACCTGAGGCACCATGAAGAAGTCGACAGCGAGCATCTCCATGAAGAGCACGTCGTAGTAGAGCTCGCCAGTGAGCAGCAAGCCCATCCCAGCACCATGTTCACGAAGAGCACGTGTAGAAGAAGCGGCCCCAGAGAGCCCAAGGCCAAGCCCAGACCCAGCACGGAGAGTACGCCTCCCCAGTCGTCAAAGCAGTGCCGGCACAGCATAGCAGCCGAGCCCAATCCATGAAGAGCTCGTCGTAGACCTCGCCGAGGAGCAGCAAGCGCAACCCAAGGCCATGACCACGAAGAGCACAGAGGAGAAGCGGCCCCCAAAGGAGCCATGCTAACCAGTCGCCGACAGAGACAACGACGGGGTACAGGTAGTAGAGAAGCGGACCCAATGGCAGCAAGCAGCCACCACAGTCCTGTCGTAGAAGTAGAACCAGCGCCCAGGGGCGAAAGTCCCGTCCATGAAGAGCTTGTCGTAGAGCTCGCCAAGGAGCAACAAGCGCACCCAGGACCATGACCACGAAGAGCACGTAGAAGAAGCGGCACACCAAGAACCCAAGCCGACGAATCGCCGAAGGGGGCGAAGGCGGGGAACAGGTAGAAGGCGGACCAGAGACCATGAAGGGCTCATCGTAGAACTCGCCGAGGATCAGCACGCCAATCCGCAAACCAGGACCACGAAGAGCCCGTGTGAAGGAAGCGGTCCCAAAGGACCCAAAGCCATGCCCAGACCCGTCGCCAAAGGAGACGAAGACGGAGCACAGGTAGTAGAGAACGAAGCGGAGCGGCTCGATGAAGAGCGTCATGGCTCGCCTCGAACCGGGAGGTCATCGCGAGGCCCATGGCCCACCGTCTTGAGATAGCCTTGATAGGCGGACGCCGTGAGCGCAACGGTCCTTAGCGTCTGCACTTCCCAATCAAGAGCCTGGCGGCGCACCTGAGCACAGCGTTCCCTAGCAGATCCATTGAGCCGCCGCAGCATGCAGCGGCCCGCCACTGTATCCGCAGCCTGGTTGAGCGCACGAAGAAGGGAGCCGTCCAAGCCATGCGGTGGAGCCCAGGTGGGCCGCTTGCCGTGAGAGGGGACCCACACGAAAGCCGTCGAGAGGCCCATGGTATGCAATTCCCGCCGGAGCTGCCGCACACCTTCCAGCAAGAGGAAGTAGTCGAAGCCACGATCACCCTGCACAGCCCGAATCACAGCCTCGCAGTCGACCGCCAACCAGACACGTCGGCAACTGAAAGTGTTGTGGGCTTTGGCCATGGCAACAGCATCACGCAACGACGAGAGGAGCAAGTGCACCGCCTGGAGTTCCATGCGGAAGGAGCATTGGTCCTCCAAGGCATCGGCCGTGGCACAGGTAATGTCCGGAGACCCTAAGGCGAAGCCCATAGCCCCAACCTCATCCTTACTGGAACCATCTGTGGCGACAGCCACCGTGCTGGTTGCCATCAGCGGAAGAAGCTGTTCACAGAGCTCCTCACGAAAACCTTCGGGGTCCACAGCAGGCGGCGGCACGGGCATCAACGGCACGGCTCTTGCGAAGAGGCGCTCCGCAGCACGATCCTGGGGGGGGAGGATACCTTGCCTCAGGCTAGCCGTGTGGCTGCAGCACCACACGAGGTGCGGTCTAGACGGCTTAGAGCCGCCGCACATGCACAGATGACGCTGGTGCCCAGGGTCAAAGTTGGCCTTGGCATTAAAGAACCAATTAGTGCAACCGGCCCCGAACGAGGCCAACACGAGGTTGCGGTCCCCGCGAGCCTCCTCAAAGACCGTCCTGTGACCTGCGAACTCATAGTGTGCATCCTTGGGGGGGACCGGGCACAGCAAACCACAAGCCGCATCAGCCTCCCTCGCCCGATACTGCCACACTCTGCCGGTGTTGAGCACATACCGCATACGATAGGCCACGGTGAGCCACCGAAGCACGATGCGAAACGACTCGAAGCCCACCTGAACCTGGCGCGTTTCCCCTAGCGAGCCTGTGCAGCAGAGGTGGCCGGCATCAGGAGTGAGCCACCAGCGCAAACGATCAAGGGTTTGTCGAAGGCGAGGCAGCACAGTAGGCGGCGGCGGCCGGGCATCAGACAACGGCAGCTCCTCACACCACTCGGGTGGGCGGACAACGTACCGCCACGTGGCCCTAAGCACGGCGGCATCAAGGGCAAACTGAGGCTCCAGAAACCACCCTGCAATCTCGTAAAACAAGACCCTGGCAGCTTCCTGGCCAACCTGACGGGAGCAAAGAAGCAGGGTCTCCTGCCGGACGGCCTCGAGTTCATGAGGCTCGGGCATGGCATACGGAGCGGCCCATGCGTAAGCCGGAACGATCAGCTGTCGGAGAAGTTGGCGGGCGTCCCTGAGACGCAAGTCAAGACCCCGCATCAACCGCAGCCTAAGTTGAACCTTAGCCAAGGAGAAGCGGAGCAGGCCCCATTGCTCCTCCAGGGGGACAGTCACGCCCAGTACCTCGAGGGTTTGCAGGTGTTGGTACTGCCGCTCCCGAGCTAGAGCAGACGCTTCAGCATCATCGGCGCGTGCCACAACCGCGCACTTGGTGAGTGACAGCTGTAACTTGAAGGCATGGTCAAAGGCATCCGACCGCAGCAAAGCATCACGAAGGTGAGCATGAGGGGCCTTGGCACGAAGGAGCAAGCATCTGTCATCCACATACGCATGTCCAGTGACCGTGGCCGGTCTCGCGCTCTGGGGCCTGAGGACAAATGCCGCCCAACAGTGGGAAACGGCCGCCGCGATCACGGGGGAGAGCGGGCAACCTTGAGGCAACCCCCGACCAGGCCGAACCCAATCACCACTTAGGGCGCCCTGAAGAGCAAAGATGCGGGAAGACCTGGTACAGTAATTCTCGAAGAGTCTCACAAAACACTCTGGGGCACGCAGGTGGCGAAGCAGCCGGGCGGTGAGCCCATACTCCAACGAGTCGAAGAAGGAACTCACATCCTGTTGCACAGCCATTTGGGCACCCGACTGCAGCTCACGGTGCAACTGCTGCAGTGCAGTGTCAATGGAAGTGCCAGCGACACCACCGGAATCGAAGTGAGACCTCCAGCTGGCGGTCCATTGGGAAAGTTGTTGGTTGAGGAGCTTGGCACCACATCTCCATATAAACGGTAAGACCGATATGGGCCTCGTGCCTCCACTCGGCTTCCACAACAGAGCCGTGCGGCCTCGCAACCACATTTCTGGGACCTTGGACTGCGCAACAACGCAGTTCCAGAGCAGGGCGGCGCAGTCCCACCATCGGGTGGGAAGTCTCAAGAGTGCCTGTGCATCCCACCCGTCCGGGCCACAAGACTTATGCTGCATACCACGGAGCGCGGTCCTAAGCATGATTGCCGTGATTTCGAAGGAGACCTCCGTGGCAGGGGGTCGCGGGACTTCAGACAAGATGCGGTCGACCTGGGCACCGGGTTCGGCACCGTCACACTGCGATGCCCACTTGAGCATCCAATCCTGTGCCTGCCTGTCCACCTCGATGGCTGGGTGCCTGCCGTTGGTAGGAGCCCTGTCCTCAGCCATGGTCCGGTCCCACTCAAGGATCTGATCAGCTTTGCTCTTAACATAGGTCCTGGCAGCGGCAAGGGAGTGGCGGGTGGTACGTTTCCACAGCCGGCGGGCTGCATCCCTTTCCTGATCCGAGTACTGCTGGGCCAAAGCAGCCACGCACTCCACAGTGTCTTGATCGGCACGATCAATGCGAGGAAGCTCGGGCACCAGACGGCGTGTGAAAGCAAGAGACTTGGCAATGCGGTTCCACAGCGACTCAAGGTGAGGCTGCGCCACGGCCGCCCTGAGACGAGAAAGCAGCTTAAGGAGGGCACGAAGACCAGCCGAGCGCTCGGGTTGTTTCCCAGTGGGAGGTTGTCTGGGCACAGCAGGCAGCCACGGAGAGCTGCGGGGAACGGCGCCAGGATCAGGATCACACAGCAGCGCTTCCCCCCAATCCGACAACAGGCGCCAGGCCTCATCAAGATCACCCTCCTGACACGCGGCCGTGAACGGGGTCTGGTCCCACAGGGCACCACGAGCCTCAAGCTCATCCACAGAAGCATCCTGACCCACAGGGCGTCGTCGTGGGCCTCTTCGTAGCAAGGGGGCATGGGCCTCAAAGGTGTATGTGACCACCTGGTGATCTGACGGTCCGTCCAGGGTTTGAGTGGAAAGGGCGGGCCACTGGACGTGCGCCAAGGCATAGTCAATCCTCCTGCGGCGGCTGCCACGGTACAGCGGTCCCGTGGGCGGGAGCAGGCCGGGCTGACACTGATCACATGGTTTGATCATTCCAGTCAAAGCACAATCAAGAAGGACCGGGTGGGTCTGCTCCACGTTGAAATCCCCTAACATGACAAACTTGAAGCCTGACTGCAGGGCAACCTGTGCAATGTCGGCCGTCTGGCCCGAGGCCGTGGCGTCGCAACCGGCCTGGAAGTAAACACCTATGACCATCACCGTGGTGGTGGTGCCGCACGCATCCTTGAGGTCCATCACGACAG